TCTCGCTCATCCGTCCCCTCTCGTCTGTCCCCTCTCCCAGGCGGCCCTGGGCTTCTCACTCGTCCGTCCTCTCTCATCTTTCCCCTCTCCGGGGCGGCCCTGGGCTTGTCGCTCGTCCGTCCCCTCTCCGGGGCGGCCCTGAGCTCCTCACTCGTCTGTCCCTCTCGTCTGTCCCCTCTCCGGAGCGGCCCTGGGCTCCTAGCTCGTCCGTCCCCTCTCGTCTGTCCCCTCTCCCGGGGCGGCCCCGGGCTTCTCGCTCGTCCGTCCCCTCTCCGGGGCGGCCCTGGGCTCCTCACTCGTCCGTCCCTCTCGTCTGTCCCCTCTCCGGGGCGGCCCCGGGCTTCTCGCTCATCCGTCCCCTCTCGTCTGTCCCCTCTCCGGGGCGGCCCTGGGCTTGTCGCTCGTCTGTCCCCTCTCCGGAGCGGCCCTGGGCTCCTCGCTCGTCCGTCCCCTCTCCGGGGCGGCCCTGGGACTGCCCTCTGTGGTGGCTGCGGCCCGTCAGCGGCCGTGATGATGCCGCCTCCTTGTCTCAGCAGCAAGCCCACGTCACTTGCCTTTAGAGCAGCACGATAATGCACCCTGCCCTGGTCTCCCTGCTTCTCTTGGACACTAAGAAAGATGTGAAAATGCGGTTAATGCCAAAGCAGTTTCCACAAGCTAACAACTGGGACAAGGACTTATTTCAGTGTCTCATGCCCGCACATCGGGCTGTGGGGTGCCGTCCTGGGGATCGTGCACTTGCCTGAACTGTGTGGGGGAGAAATGTACTGCAGGCGCCGGAGACTTGTGGCCTGTTGTGTACCAACAGGCTCTGGGCAAACCGGGAGGCAGAAAATCCCACCCACCCTGTGCCACCAGCTGCAGGGTTTGCAAGCAACGCACGAGGAAGCCGGTGGGTACCTGGCTGGTGCTGCCTGAGATCGGGACACTAGACAATCTTCACATTACAAGCGTTGGCAGGGATAGTTCACAACGGTGGAAACAGAGCGGAGACACGTTTGAAGTTAACCCAACTAAGCACAGGCTCGACCCTGCCAAGGTGTGGAAGGTCACACACCTGTGTTACGTCTTGGGAAGACGACGCTCTTCAGGCCGTTCCTGATGCATTTGTTATTATTATTATTTTTTTT